GGTGGGGTGGGATGGGGGTGCTGTTTGTTTGTTTATTTTGTTTTAAGGAGGCTTTCATCTTAGGTAGCTTGCTGGTTCTGTTCTGTTTGGATTCCATTGAAGTCTTTTCCCATGGATTTCTGATTCCTTTTCCTTCCCACCTCCCATAAAAGATGTAAATAAACATTGTGTTCCTTTTTGTCCCCCTCTCTTTCTTATATCAGACTATGAACCCTCCTCTGCCCCCGCCCCCTCTCCTGGTCTCCACACCGCCTGGCGCTGCTGCTGCTGCTGCTGCTGGAACAGGACCCAGGCCCACAGCGGGGCCCACTGACCAGATTGCACATTTACGACCTCAGACTCGCCCCAGCGTGTAAGTGAGGGTGTCATTTATTGCTGCTTAAACGTGCATTTCAAACTCAGCCCAAAGAGCAGAGGCAGAGAAACACCTTTCTGATATGAGCTGCTGACAGGCTTATGGCTTCCAAAGTGGTTTGTGTTCTGCAAACTTCTACCCAGTCATGCATATAATGAGGAGACTGCTGAAACAAAGTGGGCCCAATACAAGCGCTCGCTAGGCAGCCGTCCTGCTGAGGGAAGGCCTTTCAGAGTTTAGGAAGACAGCTGTTTGCTTCTTCATAATATTATATGTGTACGGAGCTGCCTTTTTGTCTCATTTTCGTTCCTTGCATTGGGATACTAAGGAATGAAAAGGTATTCCATACAAACCAGGTCTACTTGTAGTACGCATGTGAAAAGCTGGAAGTCCCTTGTATCCAGAAAAGTCTAGTTATCTCATTCAGAGTTTATCCGTGGCAGAATACTGCTAGGTTTTCGTGGATCTTATATTGTGTGAGTTTATACATGGAACAGGTTAGCCCTGGGAAGAACAACTGGTTAGCGTAGCCTGCCTGGTTTCCGTTATGGTGGTGGCACAGTCACCTTGCGTGGTGGGGCTCTTCTGTACACTCTGTGATCTGGACTTCTATTTCCCTTTGACTTTTTGCAACTCAGTCTTGTTCCTGGCTGAGCACACAAAAGCAGGTGCAGCCCAAGCCTCTGGGTTCAGCCTGTGTGCGGAAGGCAGCATGCTGTGCCTCCCGGTGGGGTTTCACACCATATGCCCACATTTGGGGCGACTCTCCAAGCCTAACAAGTGCCATTTGAAGAGCTCAATTGTCCCAGTGGGTGCCTAATCCCCAGCAGCAGGTTAGGCACTCTGGGAAGCTGCCTTAATTCTTTCACACCCGGCAAATACCATTTGGTGGGGTGGTCACCTTCACACGGGGGCAGTGTGGGGGGAGGGTAGACCAGGTTGGCAGTTCTTAATCAGGAAGGCTTCTGCCTTTTCTTTCTTTTTCTTTGGGGGCGGGGTGGGGGGGGGCTGTGCCTTTTCAATGTCGATGGCAAAAGCTTTCAGCAGACAAGTACCAATACTGTTTACAGATGAAAGGACTGTACTTTCTGTTTTCATTTGTGCAAGATATTCAAGACTTAATACCATGAACGAGCTTTGAGCATCTTGGGTTTTGGTGGTTATTCAGCCCGAAATCAGATATTCTTTCTATTCCAGGTATGTTGCTATATATCCATACACTCCCCGGAAAGAGGATGAGCTGGAGCTGAGGAAAGGGGAGATGTTTTTAGTGTTTGAACGTTGCCAGGATGGCTGGTTCAAAGGGACATCGATGCATACCAGCAAGATCGGGGTTTTCCCTGGTAATTATGTGGCACCCGTCACAAGGTATGGCTTTGAACAAGTGGTTTACTAAGTTCCAAACAGAGAAGCTTTGTTCTTCTCCGTGGCTCTCAGCCTGTCCAGATTCCTTCTCACATTATAATTGCCTGTTACACAGCCAACATTTTTTAAAAAGTCCGTATCTGTGCTTGCTGAGATCCCTTCTAACTCTAAAATGCTTGGCTTACTTTTCACATGGCTCTATGTGAAATTGTAGGTTTCTACAAATAAATGTACTGGGTTTTAAGTTATTTGCTTTAAGTAACATGTAAAAGACCATTTTCAGTATTTTTTCTGCTGGGAAGAGCATAATGTTTCATCTAAACAAAAGCTATATTATTAATACTTCCATGTTTCTATAATGCTTGCTATGTGCCAGGCAGGCAGATTTCTAAATGGGTTGCACACGTTCACTCCAAGTCCTTGAACAACTCGTTGTGGTAGTTTCTGTTATCCCCTCTTGATAGATGAGGAAATGGAGGTACAAAGAGATTAACTGGTCTGAGATCACATAGTGAAGAAGTGCTCAAACCCAGGTGGTCCGACTCTGTGTTCTAATAGCTTGATTACCTCTGAATTCTGGCAATTAATTTGGGGGGGGGGGGGGGGGGGGGGCGGGAAGAGAGGCTGTTGTTGGCACCTGGTGCACCGAAGCTAAGGATGCTGCCGAAGGTGCTGCAATACACAGGGCCCCTCCCACAGAACGGAATTAGCTGGCTCCAGATGTCACTGAGGTGGAGAAAGGCTGTTACAGGGTAATGGGAAGTCGGGGCTGTTAGATATACAAAATGTTCTTTATTTCATTTCGAGATAAGCCCACCTTCTGGTCACTGAGGAAAGTAGCCTTGGAAACTGAATGGAATGCCCTTAATGGCATCGACATTCAGGGAGCCTCAGTTTCTGGCCACCGGGCTCTTAAATGGCCCAGGTTTAACTGTGATAAATCATTCCTTAAACCCTCTGATTCTGAATAAATGGTTTAATGAATTGACATGTTTGTCAGCTGTTGGCCTTGACTTATAGGTTGGCCAGCAGCCTAATCAAATATAAATCACTGTTGTTGCAGATGGTGACAGGGTGCTAGCTTTCATTTGACTTGCAGATTTTTAATCGATATAAACCTTGTTTTCTGTATATGTTAAAATCTACATTCAGGATTCAGAAGGTAGATTCAGATAGTCCCTTCCTGGTGGGAAAAACACACACACACATACGCACACACACACAAAACAATAACAGCAAACCACAGAAACAACTAGGGGAAGTAAAATAAACCAAAACCAAAATATTAAGTTAATAAAGGAAAACATTTTCATAAGACTCAAAAACAAATTATTTAAAGTCTCTGGAGAGTTGCTTACTTAGAGCTAATTCTTTATTACTCCTCATGGTACATAATAAGGACATTCAAGTTAATGAAGTAGTCTACTTAGTAGAAAGTTACTATAAATAGAATTGATGTTTAAATGAATTTAGAATGTTAAAAAAGCATTACACAAAACTATGCCAAACCTAATTTAATTAAATTCAACCAGTAAGTATTTGTTTAGAGCTGGCGGTACCACTATAACTACAAATCCTGGAGAAATGGAAAAGAACCATTGCACACTGGCCCCGTCTTCAAGGAACTTTGAGTCAGGAATATTTAATAAGGAATTATCTAAAAAACAATACACTCATTTTTGTAATCAGGGTCATAGGACAGAGAAATCCACATGAAAGATAATCATAAAGTCTTCAGCCTGAGCCTTAGGCAAGGCTTCTTGAAATGATGGGATTTCTGCTGGATCTTGAAACAAATGAGATTAGGGTAAGTCAAGAGAAGCTGGGGAGGACAGTCCGAGAGTGTGTGTATTATGTGTATGTGCACCCACATGCAAGTACACAAGCCCTTGGGTGACGTGGGGCTGGGGGCAAATAGGAGAAGGGCAGAAAACATGGGCAGGGCCATGGACATGTGATTGTAAGGTCACAAGCCTGGCTTCTTGGATAGCAGAAGTAGGAGAATCCAGGGCCTCAAGTCAGTGGAGGGGTTCGGCCTAGGTGTGGGAAGCTGAGCCAGGTAACTGGATGTTCTTGAGCAGAAAATATAATATATGATTTTCTGTGACTCAGAATACATTGCAAGACCTTTCTCTGCCTCAGGGCCATTGTGAGTTTGAATTTGCTGTTTTTACACTTTGTAAAAATAATCCCATTCATTTTTTAAAATGTTTGTTGTAAAGCTTTGAGTCTTTTTTTTTCCTTTTAATTGTTCTGTCCCCCACTTCCCTAATGGATGGGGCTGTCTGTTTTTCTGTCTCGGCAGGGCGATGACAAATGCTTCCCAAGCTAAAGTTCCTGTGTCTACAGCTGGTCAGACAAGTCGGGGGGTGACCATGGTCAGTCCCTCCACTGCAGGAGGGCCTGCCCAGAAGCTCCAGGGAAATGGTATGGCCGGGAGTCCCAATGTGGTCCCCACAGCAGTGGTGTCAGCAGCTCACATGCACACGAGTCCTCAGGCTAAGGTCTTGTTGAACATGACGGGGCAGATGACGGTCAACCAGGCCCGCAATGCTGTGAGGACAGGTAAGGAGGAAACCGGACTGGGAAGCATCAGGAAAAGGGTCATCTGCCTAGTATCAGGTCTTCCGTGGCAGATGTTGACAAAAGCAGATGTGATGTAAAATAACAAATAACAGGAAATGGAAGTAGGCAGAGTCCAGGCAGTGGCACTTTACGTCTGCTTACTTTGGCCAAGCCTTCCCTGATGTGTAGATCGAAAGCCTGAAAGAGACCAGGCCGATCCTAAGAATGTCAGTAGTATTTGAAAAATAGGACTTCTGTAGCCAGGATCATATGGTCTCAAATCTCACTGTACATCTACTGCAGCCAACCGGTGTGCAGATAATTTTTTATGAATTTAGTCACAAGTCTATCTTAGACCCAGTGGGACCTTAAATCGTTTTCTTTTTTCTATAACATTGAATACCTACCAAGAGTCTTGGGTAACAATGGGAGTAAACTGTGACTTCTCTCTGGAAAAAAAAACAAAAAAAAAAAACAAAGAAAGAAAATGGTTAATAAGAAGAGAGAATCATTTTAAAAAGGACCGGAGGCCAGTGCAGTTTGACAGTGTAGACCACCATCAGATACTGGCTTCGAGTCTCTCATTCCATGGAAAGGCCTTCTTTCTCTAACTGAAGGGCCTCGGGGTTACAGCTAAGCTTCTAGGCCAGTGATGGCGAACCTTTTGAGCTCGGCGTGTCAGCATTTTGAAAAACCCTAACTTAACGCTGGTGCCGTGTCACATATAGAAATTTTTTGATATTTGCAACCATAGTAAAACAAAGATTTATATTTTTGATATTTATTTTATATATTTAAATGCCATTTAACAAAGAAAAATCAACCAAAAAAATTAGTTCGCATGTCACCTCTGACATGCTTGTCATAGGTTCGCCATCGCTGTTCTAGGCATTCAACAGACTCCAGAGCGGATCTGGAAGGGAAATGCATCCAGGGACCCAGCTAAGATGAAGTGCTTTTGAACCACCACACATCCATTATTTATTGTAATAAATGCAGTAGCAACCTTTCATTATGGACGGATGCAATGAAATGACTCATAGTTTGATGAGCAGCGTTTATTGGAAAGTTGAATCTTACCATGTTCCCTCCTGTCATTTACTAGTTTTGGCACACAACCAAGAACGCCCTACGGCAGCGGTGACGCCCATCCAAGTACAGAATGCCAGCGGGCTAGGCCCTGCGTCTGTGGGCCTGCCCCATCACCCCTTGGCCTCCCCACAGCCTCCACCTCCGATGGCTGCCATCAATATGGGTCGAGCCAGCGCCCCCTTAGCCTGTGCTGCAGCAGCTTCAATCACCTCCCCCAGCCTCACCTCCACCTCCCTGGAGACGGAGCCCAGCAGCCAGATAATGGCCATTCTCTCTGGACTTCCCACCTCTCCTGACAGCGCTTCATCAGCTTGTGGGAACAGTTCAGCAGCCAAACCAGACAAAGATAGTAAAGTAAGGCCAATATCCTGTTTCTCTGCTGGTGTTGTGTCCCATCATTTCTACTCATGAAGGGACCCGTTCAACATTCCTTCAAGTGCTTAACTGTGTGTGCTTCTGTGCCAGTTGCTAGGTTCGTGTTTCTCTGCATTTCAGCACCCACTAGATGCCAGGCCCTGTATTAGGTGCTGGGGAGATCACAGTGAGTAAGACTTACTGCTTCTCCACCTGTGGCTTACATCTCATGGAGGAATTTCCTTTCCCTTTCCTCATTCTGTCATCATTTTGCTGTCCTTAATTCTTCCTGTCCAGTCAGTTTGCTTTTTGTTAGCAGTTCTGCAATAGCTGTATACACTGAGTGGCCAGATTATTATGACCACCCCATCAGTACTTCATTGACACTTCCAAAAATACTGAATATTGAAAACTTCCTAAGCAAATACTCTCAAGGTTTTATTATTATTATTATTTGCATAACTAATTCACTTCATTGTACTGATGGGGTGGTCATAATAATCTGGCCACTCAGTGTATGTGCAAATAGATGATAGATAGATAGATAGATAGATAGATAGATATTTAACATACAAAGGGGATGAGACTGTTGGTGAGAAATGGTATTTGTGGATTTATTTTTCTATACTATACTTGGTTATAATCAGCATGAATAGTTTTTCTCTTGACTTGAAATTTAGGGGGAAATTATTTTATAAATCCTTTGATCTTTATAAGTCTCTCATTTGGGGCTGAGTTTCAAAGAAAATATACATGGGAGGCTGTATTTGAAAGACTAACCTATTGTTGGGTTTGGAGGCAGGTGGTTGGAGTCAAGGGGAGTTGATGGTGATTAAATGTGAACTGAAAGAGAAGAGTGATAACAAAGTCTGGAGAATTGCATTATGTTCATGACCTTTCCACAGTATGTCATGCGTTTCTCCTTTTAAAAAGCCCAGTTCTAGGAAGCTCTAGGGTGATTATAAACAGCCACCTGGTCATTGGTAATGGATGTTGCTCTATTTAAAAAGTTAGGTAAGCCGGTAAATAGGGCTTTATAAGGAAATAAACTTTACGGCTTACCAAAAAGTTAATATTTAATCGTTGGGTTAACATGAGTGTTTTTGAAAAAGATTGGTATCTGTCCAGCGTTTATAATTAACTACATTAAACTTGCACTCAAGCTGACATGTTCAACTTTGTCAATATCTTTAAAAGAATCATTTCATAGTTTAGATTTTAAAGTTTTGGAACAGTGTGTCTCAGGGCCCTTGTCACTGAGGAGAACAGGGAGTATTCAGCTCCTGAATCTCTGAGGCTTGGGAGGGCCTGTGCTAGACAGAATAATGGCTCCCGAAAGATGGCCATGTCCTGCTCCCTGAAATTTGAGACTGTTTCCCTCCATAGCAAAAGGAATTTTACAGGTGAGATTAAAGTAAAGGTTTTAAAGGGATTATCCTGGATTACCAGGGTGAAATGTATGTGATCTCAAGGGTCTTCATGAAGGGGAGGCAGGAGGATCAGGGCCAGAGGAGATGTGGCCTAGAAGCAGAGATCAGGGTGACTCAAGGGAGGAGCCACAGGCCAAGAAATGCAAGTAGCTACTAGAAGCTGGAAAAAGCAAGGAAACAGACTCTTTCCTAGGGCCCCAGGAGGAATGCAGCTCTGCCAACACCTTGATTTCAGGACCTGATTTTTATCCCGAAGTTGTGATAAACCAAGACAGGACCTTACTTGGGTTATGCTGTTGAGCACCCATCCTCAATAGATGGCCACTGGCCCGTTTGGATACCATATTGACCCCGAGTGCCCTAGCTCCAGAGTGTCCATGCCATTTTCTTTTATTTTGAGGTGCTACGGAGAAATTTATTGATCTCCTTCCTTATATGATGTCTTAAAGTATTTCAGGGTCATCTTTTGTTTTTGAGGCCACACTCTTGAAGTTTTTTTTCACTGTTCCTCATCACAGTTTACAAGCTTTCCCTTCCTCAGTCTACCTCCTCATTTAATGTTCCAAGTCCACTAGAGACTTTTTCTGATTGATGTAAGTAAGTTCAGTGATTCCACGATTAACATGACCAGAGTGTCATTCAGCTCACATTTCTTCATCCTGTCCACAAGGCACAAGGATATCGTGGAAGAACTTTTCAAACCTCCATTGAGATCCGAGTGTCTTTTACGTTCTCCCATCCAAACGGTTCCCCAGTGGCCCCATCGTTTTGGCGCTACTTGCTGTTAGCCAGCGTGTCCTGGAGGAGTCTACTCCTCAGAGTCTCATTTCCTTTCCTAGGTAGACCTTGTACTTAATACACTATTCTAGAATTTTCCAGATGGTCTGCAAAATACATTGTTGTTTTCTTTTTGAAAATTAGGACTACACATGCCCTTCTTTGGCCTGTTGAATTGACCCGATCTCAGGTCCACCAGGATCTATCAAAGATTATTGGTAGCATTTCAGCTGGTAATTTTCTTTGTGCTCTGGGGTAAATTCAACCTGCCAAGAGTAGTTATTTGATCTCTAAGTCCCGATCTCTTTATCCGTTTCCCTCTTAGCAAGGTTTGTTCTTCCTTTTCCGAGTAAAGATTATCCTTGTCTGTCTTATCATCTGAGAACTACCATCTGTCCCAAACAGCAGGTCTGTGTCTTTCTTGTTCTCAGTTCAAACATAACTTTTAAGCAATGTAGGCCTCCACCCCCCCCCCCCCCCACAACTTTTTTTTTTGGTCTTTAGCATTTTTGCAACTTTAAGCTCATATGGACCATGCTAATGTTCTTTCATATGGACCCTTCTCTTGATCTTTTTGTAGGAGTCCTTTAAAAATTTGAGCTCATTAGGCTGCCCCCTGGGGGATCACATCAGTACCTTTAGATGGCTCTACATTTTCATCTGCTGGGGTAATTTGCAATTGTATAGTTAGAATTTTATTCTGGAGAGCCCTCCCTCTTGAAGTATCTTTCCTTTTGAGTTTCAGGTCAAGCATATATTTTCTTTGAACTTTTAAAATCAGTTCTTTTAAACTTTAGAGTTCAAATCTAACTATAGAGAACTTCTCTTTGAGTGCTTACCTCTGTTCTCAATGTGTTTCTGCTTCACCAGCCA